TAATCAAGAAACATACAAAGAGACTGTCAGGAAAAACTGATTGCAAAACCAAAACAAAGCTGCTGAAAAGATAGATTAAAAAAGATTTAGAGAAGACATGATTATTTTTTTTAAATCTAAATCTGAAGATCTTTCCCCCAGTGCTACTGTTACCACTCTGAGCTGCTGAACAAAAGGTAGGATAAGCATCTAATAAATAAATTTAAAGTACATTAAATAATTTTAAAAATGCTTTCATTAAAAATGAAGAGACTGTGGTTGTTGTTTCTTTTTCCTGCATTCACTAATAGTCACAATATATTCTTAATTACCAGAAAAGGAAAAAATCTCAGCTTTAGGCACTGGTCAGTTTTCCAAACTGCCAGAAGCAAAATTAACTTGCTTTCAACACTGAAAATCAGGGAACCTGCCAATATTTATGACAACATTAAAATATACTTTATACTACATAATGCATAATCAACAGAAAATTCAATGAAGAATAGAATCTATGCGTGTATAGCTATTAAACACATTCCAAGGATAGCAGATGTGTTAAAACAATCTACATGCCATGCATACCTTCTATTGGAATAAACCATGTGAAGAGACACTCCACTAGAATGTCAGATCAGAGTAATATGAAATGGTAGAAGCCAGAGTGGATTACCCTTCTACAAGCTCAGGATTCTTGCCATGAACTGATTAAATGTAGATTTATATCTATATCATATTATCTATAATGGAATCTGTTCCCCTCCAGAATGAGAGCAGCATAGTCACATACATGTCCATTTAGTAAAAAAAAAGAATTACGCATAATGGGCAAGGGAGAAAAAACAGATAAATTAAACAAAAGTGTGTTCTTTCTTCTCTAGCCAAGCTTCTTTCAGTTCTTCCAAAACATTTTAGAAAAAAAAACCCATTTGGAATTACTCAAATGCTATAGAAGTGGCTTCACTAAAAACAATATATGGACATATAGGGCACTCAAAATAAGATGCATTAATAATACGATAGTACAGAGTTGTTAGAGTAAAAAACAAAAATAAAACCAACCACCCACTCCTGGTCATCCTGGAAGAAAGCAATGGCAAGCCATTCTATATCTTGCCATAAAAATTGCAAGCATTTGTCCATCTAGGTCAAGTTATATTGGAGGGCAACCGTTTTTTGTATCCTAATAATGCTTTTTTTATTACAAAATATGTTATTTGAATTTTAAAATGTGAATGCTAGAGGACAAATCATCTATCCCTACCTGCAGGCTAATATAAAATCAGGTGTAACATGCTATAGTAATTGTCCTCAGTCGGTAAAGTAAATGCCAGGATAAGAAAGCAATTCCACCAAAACCAGAAAAGCCAGTCGGTGAAAATGAACTACAGGCTCCTAAGGCAAGGAGTTATTGGCGGGGCGGGGGGGAGGGCGGGGGAGAGAGAAAGGACATTTCCAATACACTCTAATCTCTACCCAGGTCAAATAATCAGGATATTAAACTTCAAGAGAAAAGAATATCTGTAGCTCAGGGTTGAACTGTGGCATTCTCAGCTTGGTTGTTGCTTACAGACATTTCATTACCCAACCAGGTAACATCATCAGTGTAAATAAGTAAGGGGTTTGCTGACTGTTTATATAGTTTTACCTTGCCAGTCATAGAAATAATGAGAAATAATAATGAGGGTTTGCTGCCCATTTATATACAGTAGCTCTTCCTGCCAGTTTTGGAAGGAGTATGTTCAAAGTGCCACCAGCTACAAAAAAATGAGTGGACAATAAGATTCTTCCCCATTCCCCAGTTCTGATACCCAAAGTATGGATTTCCTTTCATAGCGGAATTTGACAGGAACCTGTTTTTTAGTTATCAGATTAAAACACGATTATCCTCTATTGTACTTTCAAAGAAATGAATGTTATCATTCTAATGCAAAAAGTTATTTTAATCACTGAAATGAGCAATCCATTTAGCTATTTGAATTTGATTTTGAGGTTATGGGGAGAAGTAGAGAACTGCTTTTTCTTTATGTGCCCACATGCCTATTGTTTCATGTTAATTATGTATTTAGTTAACTATGGTATAACTGTCAAATTACTGCTTGTTCTAAAATACTTATTTGGTTTTTATTGATTTATTACCGGTAGATTTATCCCTGCCACTATTTTGACTTTCAGCAGTTAACAAAAGCCATGTGAAAACAATACAGTAAACTTACAGTTAACAAAATCACTATAAAATTTAAAATTATAAAATAAAATGAATCAAAGAACAAATCAGTGGGATAGTTTCTTCCTCCTTAGGATCTCCCAAACAATTTGATTTTTAAAAGCTTAGGGAAAGCCAATGTGTGTGGTCAATCTGATTTCCAGAGAAGATCATTCCATAAATATAAACACCCTTCCCCACTCAGAAGCAGGACCCGAAATCCTCAACCTGTCATTTCACAAAAGCTTTTAGGGGTTTTTAGGCAGGGTTCAACCTATCTATCATTGTTCATTTTAATGTTTAATTGTTCTTTGAGAGTGATCACTTTAGGATGCCAGTTTGCCTTCTGTATGTACGCGCACGCCCTTGAGTCAATTTTGATTCCTGGAAATTGTCTAAGCAAGTCCCTGCCACTTTCTTGGCAATATTTTTTTTGTAAGTGGCTTGTCGCTGCCTCCTTCCTAGGGCTGAGAGAGACCAATTGACACAGGGTCATCCAGCTGGCTCTGTGCCTAGGGAAAGACTAGCCCTCAGTCCCCCCGTTTCTACCCTGGTGCTTTAACCAATATACCACATTGGCTCTTCTGTTAAGTGGGAATTTTGTGATGGCTATATAGACTACAGCTGTCTCATGAATACAGATAGTCCTCAGATTAAGACCATAATTGAGCCCAAAATTTCTGATCTAAACAAGACAGTTGTTAATGAGTTGTGACCCATTTTACAACCTTTTTTGTCATAGTTGTTAAGCGAATGACTGCAGTTGTTCATGAATCATGCGGTTGTTAAGCGAAGCTGGCTTCCCACTGACTTTGCTTGTCAGAAACTGGCTGAGGAGGTTATAAATGGTGAGCACATGTTCCCGGGACAGTGTAACTATCACAAATACATGCCAGTTTGCCAAGCACCTGAATTTTGATCACGTGATCAAGGAGATGCTGCAATGCTTGTAAACGTGAAAACTACTCATAAATCACATTTTCAGTGCTGTTGTAACTTCAAACTGTCACTAAATGAATGGTTGTAAATCGAGGATTAACTGTACCCTAATTATATGCTTTTGAAATTCTAAATATTGCTTACTCCTGTGCCAAACCATAGTTTTAATACTATAGATAAGAGTTTGCCAAATAAACCACAACTGATTGGGTTCACACACTGTACCTTGTCACAAACTATAAGTAAAAAAAGTCTAGGTTTGAAAAATACACTGAACCCAAAACATTTTCTCTCTCCTTTTGGCTTAGTGAACCAGGCCACAGAAAGCGAGAAAAAGAGGGCACGTCTCACCCACTTTAATAGAGCTAATTCCCAAGCATTAAAATAACTTGAATAGCAGCATTTTCCCATACTAACAATAGCAAAGGCAAGCAGTTGCTGTTCTACCTTACTCTACAGGGGTCTCTCTATGTTATTTTTTCCAGAACAAGTCCGGTTAACAATGTAAAAAGGAAGTGCTTGACATATCCTGTTTTCTCCAAGAGAGCAAGATTTGAGTTTGTATTGGGTAGGAATGGCCACTGTGTCATCAATCTGAATTCTCCCACATTGAGAAGAAAGAACTTTTCTAATTTGATTACTAGGAAATAATACAATTTCCCATCTTATTTCATACACCTTGAGTATTTAATAGCACTGTAACGTAAGTTCCCACAATTGCATACAGACCCAAAAGTTTTAAATGGCTCCTTCAGACTTCAGATTCTCCAAAAGTGAAACGTGACAGGGCACGTTAAATACAGGCAAATGAATTTAATGAAGTACTGTTCATCATAAGAACAGCACTTCATTAAATTTAATTGTAATTAAACATAAGCATAAATTACATCAAATTTAGTCATTGTTCTGGCCCTGGCAACCTTCTAGATTTAGTTCTGAGTTCATAACTCTGGCCTTGGGCCCCAAAATTCATGCATTCTGATATAAGTTAGTCATCTTTTTATTAGATGTTAACGCGTCTTCACCTGGCATTTTACAAGTCATAACTAGCGTCAGCTTTGTGTTTGCAATAATATCTTTGTAAACATATTATACTTTTCTCAGATTTCTTAAAAACAGACAGGTTAAGAAGATTCCAAATAAACATCAAAGAAACGCCAAACATCAAAAACAATAGAAAAATTACAGATTACAATGTTTTTGAAAACATCATTTGGCACTCAGCTGGAAACCAGAGTTCAGCTTTTTACATAGGTAATGAATTGCATAATTTGCTATCCTTGAGTAGTGTGCAAAGCAAGAACCCTCACTGTGATACACAGTGTATTTTTGTCATAAATTAGCATTATGGTTAAATATTAGGATATTATTCTCCAATGGATCATATAGAAGCTTCTCTTGGGAATTCGTATATACAAAACTGCTTCCCACTTCGGAGCTATTATTCAGTCAACAACTACCACCATAACTCTCAAAGAGCAGCAGCATCCCACACTAAGAGAGCAGATTGTGTGAATCTCCCCGGTGTAGCTGTACAAAAATGTTCCCATAGCAACGGCAAAGGCACCCACTCACACATATTTCCTGCAGTTGAGATTCATTAAAAACCCAAACAATTTAACCTTTCACCTATGTTTAATTGCTGTGGCAAGCAACTAAGCAGGCTTGTATGTGTGGATTAAAAAGCGAATTGCAGAACGGTGGAAAGAAGGCGGGGTGGAGGTGGGGGGGGGGACGACAGAGGCAAAAGGGAAAGCGGAGTTCTTGCACGAATCGGCAGGACCGAATCTAATCACTGCTCTTGTCTCTTAACGCCCGGGATGTTCACCCACAGGTCAAACACACCCATACACGCAAGCACATACACTCCTCACCTCACCATCTTTCCGACGAGCGTATTAAAACTCGGAGCACGAAGTTTGCCCCGCCGGAAAGGAATCGGCTTGCCAAAATGACTACCGCTTTCGAAGGAGACCCTAGAAATTGCGCGTCGAGGCTCGCCAGAGGAACGGAAGGGAGAGAAGGAGACACTTTCAAAGAAGGGACACCGGAGACAGGAAGTGTGTGTGTGTGTGTGTGTGTGTGTGTGTGTGTGTGTGTGTGTGTGTGTGTAAGGGGGTTTGTAAAACTGATGAAAGAGATTCGCGATGAATGAACCCGTGATTTAAAAAATAAAAAATAAAAAGTCACCCAGCGCAAACGGCACCGCCTCTCCCCTAATAAAGGGAGAAGATTCACTAGAGGCAGCGTCTCCCAACAAGGGGCGGCGGCGGCGGAGCAACCTCCGGGGCCCGCGACCCAGAAACAGACGCAAATAAACGGCGTCGCTTGGAGGTTACCGCAGCCAACTTTCGGGGGATGCTAGCGAATCCGGCCGGCGACATCTTCCGCCAGGCTTCCGCGCCTACGCGCCCACCCCTACCGACCGACGCAAGCAACAACAAAAAAAAGAAAGAAAGAAAGAAAGAGCGCACCGCACCAACCTTTCGTCGTCCATTGTGCGCCGCCGGAGCGGAGCCGGAGCCCTGCTGCATGCGCTCTCGCCTCCTGCCCGCTCGCTTCTCCAGCGCTGCCGCAGCGAACCGCTCGGCGCCCCCTTATCTGGCTGCGCTCGGCTTGGCCGCCTTCCTTATCGCCCCTGCGCGGCTTCCTCTCACGCCTAAAGCAACAGCGGCAGGTTAACTTTGCAGCAGCCAAGAACACTCCCTTCCCAGAGGTCCCCGCTGCCGCCGCCGCCGCCGCTACTCTGCCTCCAGCCTCGGCAGCCCACTCCCTTCTGCCTTCCTTTCTCCCGCTCCGAGCATGCGACTCGGTCTCCTGGCAACACCAGCTGTGCGGATAGGTACATTGCACCACCCCGGCTGCTGCATTTGCCCGAGGCATCTTTTTGGCGGGGTTCTGCTCGGTTTTAAAAAGACCGACCAAGGGAACGAAGCAAATGCACCAAGGGCGGAAAGGGGAGGGGAGCGATTTTTTGGTCTTGACTTGATCCCGTGGTTTATGGCTAGGGAAGGGGCGGCGTGCTTCAGAACGCACTTTACATCGCACTTCTTTGGGTTTCGGTCTCGCCCTATTCCAAAGCTCTAGGGCAGTCTATTTAACCCATACGTTTAAAGGTTGTCTTAAAAAGGGAAACAATTCCATTGTTTCTTTGCATTCTTTGGTTTTAAAAACCGGTAGGGTTATTAAGGCAAAATGTGCTCTATTGTGAGAGTAATATTAGCTTGCACATCCATTTTCCCTCTTAGTAGGGGCAATTTTCAGCTTAAGTAAAAGCAGGTAAATCATTTTTGGCAACCAAGATAAAGGCATTCGAGTTCGTAAAGTGTCAGCACTGTATACACCTTGTTAAATATAGAGCACGGATTGGAGGGAGGGACTTCCTTTAAAAAAAAAACATATTCTCTTATTTCAACTGCAAAGTACCAACTATCTTTTTCATTCTCTATACACATAATTTACATTTCAGATAGATTGTCAGAGCAAAGAAAAAAGTTGAATGTGTGCATTTTAAGCTCAATTAAACCACAGCCCCACCAAGACATAAAATCAAAATGGGGTTTATAGGCTATTTAATTCCTTTACTCTCCAAGTGACATGGCATAGCAGAGATTAAATGCCACATGTTCAACTGAAATTATATAGATGCCTTGCTATACTTCAGGCTGGTTTAAAGTAATGGAATGGAGACTGAAAAATAGCTTAAATATTTACTGAATCTTTGATCATACAAATGATAAACAAGACTGCTAGTTGGTATATGCTTTTCATATTCAATGCAGATTGCCAGCATCAAATGTAGAGATGGAAACTGTTGTTTAAAAGTGTTGTTACAATTCTTACATCTGATATTTACTTGACACACTAACCCAGGTTTTTGTTTTTTTTTTAAAAAGCTAATTTTTCTGGATTAGCACAATGTAGTGAGTTATAATCACTCAGAAATCCCATCTCATGCAGTGATTATATATTAGTGTATTAGCTGAACAGTAATAAAACTAGAAAATATACTAGTTACCAGCTCAAATATGGATGCAGAACCAAAATATCGATTGACCTTATTTATATTAACATGTTGATTTTCATCAATGCACTATTGGAATTAGAAAAGGCATAATGGGGCATGCATTTTTTAGACTTTGGAGTTTGCAGCCAGCCAAACAAACCAGCTGTTCCAGTTGTTCTATTTTGTCTTCAAATCAGTTTGGCTTCTTGTAATTTTCTAGATTAGCCCCTGTAGTTTCCTTGGCAATTTTCAAATGTGTATTGCCATTACCTTATTCTAGGGGTCAAGAGTGGCCCTGAGTCACACAGTTGGTTTTGTGTCTAAGGCAGGACTAGAAGGCACTACCTCCCAGTTTCTAGCCTTATCCCTTAACTATTAGAGGTAGTCCTCACTTACCAACTACTCATTCAGTGACCATTCACAGTGGTGCTGAAAAAGGATGAGTTATGGCTCCTTAAAACTGCAAACATTGCAGTCTCCTGCAGTCATGATTTGATGACCAGTGCATATTTACAATGGTAGCAGCATCCCAATCATGAGATCGCCATTTGCAACCTTCACAGCTGATTTCCAACAGGCAAAATCAATGTGGAAGCTGACAGGAAGTCACAAGTTGTGGTCATGTGACACTGCACTTAACGCAGTGATTCAATTAATGACCACACCTGAAAGTGACAATGTAAGTCAGGCATGATCAAATGATGCTTCCATGTGGGGTTGTTTACTCACTAGTTTTTGAAAGAATTTATACCTTGTCTCCCAAGCAAATTTACTCTGTTTTGCATTTCTGCAATCTTCTGCTTTCTTGCCTTCTAACAATTACATGTATGTGGATCATGTCATTCTGGCAACATAGCAAATGAATTAACCAAAATCAGTATTTATATATAACTGAGTACAGAAATAAATATGAACCTTAGTAATTGATAGGTTCTGTCCTATTATTCTTTTACTAAGGAAAGGTGACATACTGCAATCAAGCATCGGCCCTCTGGCATCTTCATTTGCTATTATGCCACTAAGCACATGTACCCTACAGATACCCTTTAAAAATAACAATAGAAAATGAGCACAACCCAGTGCTTTGTGTGCTCAACTGCCCAGAAACCAAAGAAAATGTGGGGTGGCAGGGAGCAATCTCACCAACTATCTGGTTAACGGTTCGCCACAGTCACCAGACACTATCAGCAAACAGGTCACATATATATCTACCAGTATAAAATTATTATCAACCCTGGTATAAGTTCATTGAATATTCATTCAATTTTATTCAGTATATGATCCTGACCAGACTTATGTGTTCAGTCTTTTTAAATCTTCATTAAGATGTTTGACATGGGCAGAAACATACATTATAATAAAATTCAGCAATAGAATTATCAATAGCCTAAGTCTTTGAAAAATAAAAGCTTAGTACACATATGCCCTACTTTTATCTTACTGGTTCCAATGGGAAGATTTGGATAAAATAAAGCTATTTAGAATCCTACGAATTTCACATTTTTAAATTAAATTTAAATGTAATGTAAATTAAAGCATATTCTATTATTTTTCTAAAATATACTGCTCCTTCCTGCAGAAGCATATTTAAGCTGTTTGTTGTTAACATCTGCCCAATAGTCAGATTACAGATGTAGAAATTCTAAGCTGCCAGTGGAGTTTGGTCCATACAAGCATATAATAAAATCTATAAAGCAGAACAGGCTATAGATCATATAGATCTATCTGGACCCGTACCAGTCGGGCTTTAGGCAGGGGTACAGCACAGAAACGGCATTGGTCGCGTTGGTGGATGATCTCTGGAGGGCTCGGGACAGGGGTTGCTCCTCTGTCCTGGTCCTGTTAGATCTCTCAGCGGCTTTTGATACCATCGACCATGGTATCATGCTGCAGCGGTTGAGGGGGTTGGGAATAGGGGGAACCGTTTTGCGGTGGTTCTCCTCCTTCCTCTCCGATCGCTCGCAGTTCGTGTTGACAGGGGGGCAGAGGTCGACTTCGAAGCGCCTTGCATGGAGAGTGCCGCAGGGGTCGGTCCTCTCGCCCCTTCTGTTCAACATTTATGTGAAGCCGCTGGGTGAGATCATCCGTGGTTTTGGGGTGAGAGTCCATCTGTACGCTGATGATACTCAGCTGTACATCTCCACCCCAGACCACCCCAACGATGCCCTTGATGTGATGTCTCACTGCCTGGAGGCTGTGCAGGTCTGGATGGGGAGAAATAGGCTCAGACTCAACCCCTCCAAGACCGAGTGGCTGTGGTTCTCGGCGTCGCCATATAGTCAGCTGGTGCCATCGCTGACTATTGGGGGTGAGTCTTTATCCCCCCCAGAGAGGGCCCGCAATCTGGGCGTCCTCCTGGACGCACGGCTGTCTTTAGAACATATGACAGCCGTGGCCAGGGGGGCTTTTTATCAGGTTCGCCTGATCCGCCAGTTGCGGCCCTTTCTGGACCGCGACGCTTTGCGCACAGTCACTCATGCCCTTGTCACCTCCCAACTGGACTACTGCAATGCTCTCTACATGGGGCTCCCCTTGAAAAGCACCCGGAGGCTCCAACTGGTCCAGAATGCGGCCGCGTGGGTGGTTATGGGCGCAACTCGTTGTGCCCACGTGACACCCATCCTGCATGAGCTGCACTGGCTCCCAGTGGTCTTCCGGGTGCGATTCAAGGTGTTGGTTACCACCTTTAAAGCGCTCCATGGCATTGGACCTGGATACCTTTGAGACCGTCTTCTGCCACCAGTAACCTCCCACCGGCCAGTTCGCTCCCACAGAGGTCTCCTCAGGGTGCCATCGGCCAAACTATGTCAGCTGGCGACACCCAGGGGGAGGGCCTTCTCTGTGGGAGCCCCTGCCCTTTGGAATGATCTGCCCCCAGAAATTCGTAAAATCTCTGATCTCCATGTGTTTCGCTGTGCCCTCAAAACCATGTTGTTCCGCCAGGCTGGGCTATCAATGTAAAGATTTTTAATTGGTTTTAAATGGGATTTTAAATTTGGAGTTTTACAAATTGAGCCTATTATTTAATAATTTCAATTATTTTTAAATTTTGTCTGTCTTTGTGTTTTTAATTAGGCTGTACACCGCCCTGAGTCCTTCGGGAGAAGGGCGGTATAGAAATAAAATAAATAAATAAATATTGATTTATTCCATTCTTCTGTGTAATATTGAATTTTTAAAATACATCATTACTACTGATAAGGCAACTGAAATCAAGATTTACTGAAATTGTCCTCATATTCAGCCAGTTTGGTGTAATGGTTAAGAAGTAAACTGGAAAGCAAGAGACACTGAGTTCTAGTTCTGCCTTAGCTATGGAAGCCAGTTGGGTGACCTTGGGCCAGTCACTCTCTCCCAACCCAAACCACCTCACAGACAACTCACAGGGTTGTTGGAGGAAGGTGGAGGAAGATGGGTTGGATATGTTCACTGCCTTGAGATGCTTATAAATATAATGAAGACAGGATATCAATAAATATTGTCTGGTTATACTAACTTCTAGCATTAGAATATGGGTACATTTATTTATTTTTTTATTTATTTATATTGGATTTCTATACCGCCCAATCTTGTGAATGCTCTCTGAGGCAATCAGGTTATGTTAGATCTGAAATTAAAATATCTAAAAATACTAAAAGCTAATCACACATAATAAATAGTTCAAAGATACAACTTCACATCATATAATGGATAGGTAAGTTTTAAATAGGATTTTTCATGTAATTTCTGAACTTAAACTGTACCTTTCTTTCAGGATGCCATGACAGGATGTTGAAATTACATCATCTTGTATGAAATGTGTCACAATGTACTGTTAATAAAAACTTTTTCTGCATAACTCATTGGGTAGGAAACTTGCACTCTTTCTCTTTCTCTCTCTCATACATACAGACATGCAGATTACAAATTTGGGGTTTCAAACTAGAAAACCGTACTTCTATGGCTGACCAGTCTGCTAATACAGACAAGCGTCCAAAACTGTATGGTCAGAGATTATAAAGACTCATATAATTTAGACATATAAGGCATTTCAATCTGGTATCTTTATAGTTTAATTATGCTTGCAGTCCAGACTTACCTAACCTTCTGCCTTCAGATGTTGGACTTTGGCCCTGGGAAATCACTGGAGCTTAAGTCCACAACATCTGGAGTACAAAATTGTGAAAAGATCTGCATATTCTCTCAACATAGCTTTAAAATAAAATACAGAGAAAGCAAACATGATAAATAAAACATTGTGCTGTTCTTAATTCACCAGGTAGACATTAACAGTCACAGGCCTAAAAATAGAATTATTAAGGTTGATTGGCAAATTTATTTCAATACCAGGCTTATTTTCCAAAAGAACAACAGTTCAAATTTATGATCAATAAAGACACAGACCTCATTGCAGTGAACACTGCCATACATGAACAGCCTACTACAGCTTATCCTGAAACACTTGCAAAAAGAATTAAGTAAAGTGTCATTGGATTCTATGATACTGTTCACATACTAAAAAAAAGTTTCAAGTTAGCTATAATTCTTAGACTTGTCATTATTAATGCCAAATGTTGGTCTTCAATGTTCTGTTAACTCATTCTTTCATAAAGTACAAAATGTTATGGTAGTCAGCTTCTCGAATCCAATACAAAAGGTAGGTTTATGTTAGAATATGTGCAATAAAATATATCATTGAGGTTTCAGATAGAGGAATTTAAATGTTTGTTAAAACTTTTTACTCTTTGTTAATCTTTGCAATACTCAAGAGCAAGTTATAATGTATAAAAATTGGCAAATTCTGCCTGTCATACGAAAACTAGACCAAACCAGATATTCTGACCTAACCAAACAGTAATGAACAGTATGATTGAATCATGTACATATTTCCAAATATATAGGTAGATTTTATACATTCAGGACTCAAAAGTATTTCCTGCTAGTAATCAACCTCCATGTGGGTGTATAGCACCGGTTATTTAAGAATCACTATCTGTTAAAAGTTTGTAGTTCATTATATGAGATTATTACCTCACAGAAGATTTGAAAGGTCATAATATGAGAGGACAGCATTACAGGCAATATACAACTGCTTTTACTATTATAACAAAGTGTTTTATCACCATGATGTGGTTTTGGAAAACAGAAAAAGCATTATAAGCAGCAATTAAATTTTACTGTCCAAAAAAGTAGCTTGCAAAGGTCTGCACATAACAATTTCTAAGAATATCACTGCATTATCTTTAGCAAATCTGCTAATACAGCTTAATTTACCCTTTATGGGGGGAATATTCATATATACATCAAGAGCTGTGTGTAGTTCTGTTCTTTTAGGCAAACATACCCCAGATGTAAAAGTAATGTAAACTCTAATGTTGAAGATAACAAAATGCATTTCAAAGACAATGGCAATTAATTTTTCACTGGATTGTTTTACACTTAAAATTTAGCACAATTAGCCTACCTTTATATCAAGCCTAGAATAAAGCATTTTAAGGGCCTGAGAAGTCAGAAATAAGGTAGTTACTATAGAAATTATAGCTACAAGGCAAATAGTTATTAGAAGCCAGTTTTTTTTTCTAGGCAATGGTAACAGTCCCAGATATTTGACTTCAGTACCTTATCTTCCCCCAAAAGATAAAGGCACAAGTAAATCACTAAAATTTAATGAAATTAAAGAACAAGAATAGTTTTTATTCAACATGGTTAAGCCACCTATTCTGTAGTGGGTTTCTCTTACCTTCGCTACCGGTTCGGAACTGGGAGTGCACATGCGGCACTTCTGCGCATGTGCAGAACTTTCTGCGCATGCGTAGAGCACCCATGACAACGTCCAGATGGGTGGGTGGAGCTTCCCGCCGCCACCACCACCAGTTTGCTCGAACTGGGGCAAACCGGTAGAAACCCACCACTGCACCTATTCCAGGTTCCAATTTGCTTCAAACCATTTTAACCCAAGTTTTTGTGCAGCATAAATTTTCAAGCCAATAAAAATTGTCATATTTTGTTAAATCTAGAAAATCAAACTTATTGATGGATAAAGTATGTGAACAGTTCTAGCTGAATTAGAACTTTGCTAAGGCTTATGTAGAACAAAGCTGCAGATAATGTAATGAATTTCCACACCACACTGAACAAATATTTGCTGTAGAAGTCAAATGGATAACTGTACACATAAAAAGTGTAGGGCAACAAATAAATAAAGCCAATTTATTGTTATGTTTCAATTTAATATAACTAACCTTCCAGAGTATATGACACTAATAATGTATCAGGACATTCAGTAGCTAGCTCCTATCTTCAACCATAACTATCACCTATTAAAGATTATCAAACCTTATTTAATAAAATCTACTGGGTCAAATAAACTTTTAAATATAACCTAGTTTTGACTTTAACACCTTAGTTCTATGTAAAATATTGATTTAGCAAATGTTGAAATATAAAGCAGCTCAAGTAAAATACTTTGGTTGAAATCCTAATAAAAATCAATATTTTAGTCATTTCATACATACTCACTGAAGCATGTGAAGAATTCAATTTTTTATTTGCAATATTCATAACTATTCTATATTTCTATTCAGGAAGTCAGTTTCTGTCTAGAACATTGTTAATAGAACAACAAACGTTAATTCTACTATGTGAAAGGGCTACAAATACATCAAGCAGACTACAGAAATTTTGATTTACAATTGGCCTAAGTTATTGGCTCATTTATTGTTCACTGAGCACAAATTTTAAAAACTGAATACTTAAATTGGTCAATCAATAATTTTACTTTTTTGTATTTTAATATTTCATTTCTGCCAATATATTTTATTGGCATGTTAATTTAATCCTTGCCATCTAAAGATCTAATGGTCTACATTCTGAGAGCCAATTTGTTTTAATAAAACTTACACAAAAGTCAACTAGTCTGCCAGCAGATGGCACTCTATTTAATACTTGGCTTTTTTTTAATAAGAACAATTAAGATAGTATCCAATTGAAATGACTTCACTATGCAAACAAAATATTTATAAGGGAAATAATTCTCCCCTTTAAAAATGGATTGTTACAGACAAGCCAATAAATAACACAATGTGAAACTAAGAAATCTGACATTTTGAACATGTATATATAAAAAAGCACATGCTTTAAATGTGTTAGAACATTTTTATGAATAACTCCCTATATAAAAGAACAAACCAACTGTGTTTACAAGGCAAATGCCCAACTGCAAAACTGTGGATGTAGAATAAGGTATTTTAACCAACTTCATCCACCAACATATTTCAAAAACTGGCACAAACTCTAGCAGTAAGAAAACCAATGTAGTGAGGCAGCAAGAGCTGGGCTCTTTACTTGAAATAAAGCAATCTTTTTTTTAACACATGTACTCAAGCATCAGTAAATTTTACTGGCTTAAAAAACTTTTGTTTGAAATGTACGGAATGAACCCTAGGAAAAAAGACATGTAAAGGTCAATGAACACAATGATTTATTTAAAAAATAAAAATGTAAAAACGATTTAACCCCTTTTACAGCCATGGAATCATTGTAGAAAAAAATGTGTAGATATTCCAAGTCCTTACAAAGTTAATTCCCTTTCCCATCCCAAGTTTTACTTCAGAATCATGACTTTCCCTCCCAACCCCAAATAAACCAAAATTAAAACAATATCTTGTTCCTAGTATAAAAAACGACTAATGTCCAAGCAATAAAAAAATAGAGTCCATCAATGACTAACACAAAATCGTTGTGTGAAAAGACCCAGTACATCTTCAAGAAAGTGACACAGGCAGCAGAGCGACCCCACCAGGAACATTCGAGATCTGCTTCGCATCACTGGAACCTTTTTGTATGAAGGTGCCTTTAGGCGAAGTGTAGGGGAAGTATTGAAAGCCTGGCCTGGCCCGGTACAAACGGAGAGCATACTCCATGCAGACAAAACTAACGTCCCCCATAAGGATCGGTGGGAATTCCCGCTTAGAAAGAGCCGCCTCCATAACCTCCCCCGCCATAACCGCCTCTGTATGGTCCACTGTTACTGCGGGGGCCCCAGCTGCCGCCACCGCCTCCACCCGCACCGCCGCTCTTCATAGGGCCGTAGGACGACTGGTGCTGGCTGTAGCTGCCGAAGCCGCCGTACCCGTTGCCATAGTCGCCGCCGCTGCCACCTCCGCCGTAAGAGCCGCCACCGTACGAGCCGTAGCCTCCTCCTCCGCCGCCACCTCCGTAGCCTCCGTAACTGTTATAGCCGCCGCCGCCGCCACCGCCTCCTCCTCCTTTGGAGAGACCGTTGTGGTCCCGGTTGCCGGCACCTCCGCCCCTTCCTCTTCCCCGTCCGCCCCAACTCGACCTGGAAGAGCCGCCGCCTCCTGCTTGGATGTCTTCTCTCGGCACGGCCTTCTTGACCTCCACCCGGTGGCCCTGGATGGGGTGGAATTTAACCACCGCCGCCTTGTCAGCGGCGTCGTGATTCTGAAAGTAGACGAAGCCGAAGCCCCGCTTCTTGCCGCTCTGCTTGTTGGAGATGATCTCGGCCTTTTCCACGGGGCCGAACTGACTGAAGTGCTCAACTAGGTCGTTCTCCCCCAAGTCCCCCTTGAGGCCTCCAACGAAGAGTTTCTTCACTTTCGCGTGGGCGCCGGGCCGGGCGGAATCCTCGCGGGAAACGGCCCGCTTCAGCTCCACCACGTTGCCGTCGACAGCGTGCGGGGAGGCAGCCATGGCGGCATCGGCTTCTTCCACAGCCGAGTATGTGACAAAACCGAAGCATCGGGAGCGCTTGGTTTGCGGGTTGAGCACCACCACACAGTCGGTTAGGGTCCCGTAGGCCTCGAAGTATTCTCGCAGCCCAGCTTCCGTCGTCTGCACATTCAGGCCGCCAATGAACAGCTTACAAAGCTGGGAGTTTTCCATGCCGGAGCCGCGGCCGTCACACGCCTCCTCCTCCTCCTCCTCGCTGCTGCTGCCACCGGTAGGGGGCAGCTGCCGCCGGATAAAAATCGACAGGAGCTACGAGGCAATGTTCGTCGTGGGACAGGTCGGCCCAGGTCCACCGGCAGAGAACGGGGAAAGGGGGTGGGGAAAGGAAACGTACAAAATGGCGTCTGCGATTTCTACTCCTCCTCAGGCGCGCTCGCAGCCAGCCACTGGTGCCCACACACAAAGGAAACGCCAAAGGGCCCGCCTTCCGTGGCAGTGCGAGACACACCTCCTTTCCTGGAATACCGACCGAGCCAACAACTGTCCGCCATTGCCCTCTTACGTTGCTACTGAATGATAGATCCCAAAGCCAATCATCTTCCCCGTCCGAGCGACGAGGCGCGTTTTCAAAAGTATGAGGCGGAGTGAATCCTTTAATTGACGTCAGGAAGGAACCTATCACATTTCTGCTTTAAACAGCCGCGCATGAAACAAGCGGTTACGTACTGAGCCGAAGTCCAAAGGAGACAAAAGCCACTCCGATACGCCCATGGCCAAAGGCATCAGCCAATAGGCTGCCCCGCTTGTAAGCGCGCGCTTTCTCTTGGAGAGTTCCCTTCTCCCTTGGGCGGGGTTGATAGCGCAATGAAGATAACGAGGTTTATTTGAAAGATTGAGCTCGTTTGGCCGTTATCTGATGTCGCGCTCTACATTTCCCTAGGCTCCTTCTGAGCAACATTTATGAGAGCAAGCTTGAGCACGAATGAAAGCGAAGGCACCTCCATTGACCCAAAAATCCATATTAAGGCCGTGCCTGTATTAGATCAGTTAAAAATACTTAACGTACAACTGTTGTTCAGTTTTTCGGAAAAAAATTCCATGGGGGAGGGGGAGAGGCGGGAGGAATAGAGTTATATCTTTCCCAAGTAGAGTATGGTAGAATTTGACAAGCATACATTTATTTATTTATTTAATTTTTTATACTGCCCTTCTCCCGAAGGACTCAATACAAATTCTCTTCCCAAGGGTAAAGAAATCATCTCTCAAAATTTAGGGTAAAGAAAGACTCCCAAAATTTAGAGGGAGAAAAGAAAAAAAAGTAGTTTGTCTATTTAGAAATTACATATTGAAAAAGATACTTCCTTTGCAATACTTCAGTATATTGAAGCTAATAACTGCTTATTTAATAGCATTTCTCTACTACAGTTTTTATACTTGTATATTGTAGATTTATTATAAATACGTGGCTGATACCTGATTATACTCACCTTCCATTTCAGTTAATCATGTCAAGAAATATAAAGGTAGTAATGTTTAACTTGTCTACATGTAAATATTCTAAATTATTAGATAATCTGTTATTTATCTAAATTGTTAGAAAGATTAGTTTATATTTCAGATTAAAATATTTATAGTGAAGGAAGTTTCTTGTTCACACAATTAATTACAATTTTATCTTCTATTCATTCAATTTCAATTCAAATTTCAAATCTTTATTGTCAGTGCACAACATGTACAATGAGATTGGTTGAGCTCCCTCAGTGCCCCCCCAACACAATACAACTCACAGTGAAGACAGAAAATCCCTAACCCAATAAATCATATTAACAAAACACCCAGTCCTATTGCACCAGTGTGAACATATTATACATTGTGCCAGCCCTGCAGTCCATCATACTACATAGTTATGATGTTATTTCTCATTCAGGAGTCTGACGGCCCACAGATAAAAACTGTTCTTCAGCCTGTTTGTGCAGCTGGCTATACTTCTATATCTCCTTCCTGATGGCAGGTGGGTAAAGAAGTGATGACCAGGGTAAGAGTCGTCCCTGAGAATTTCCCTCACTCTTCTAAGGCAACGAGCCCTACCAATTTCATCTAGTGAGATTGGGACAGCGCACAATGTTTTGTGCTGTACTCACCACCCTCTGTAATGTTTTTCTATCCGCGGTTGTCAGACCAGCATGCCATACCGTGATGCAATAAGTGAGGATGCTTTCTATTGTGGACCGGTAAAAGAAGGTCATCAGTTGTTGTTCTACCCTGTTCTTACGCAAGACATTAAGGAAATGGAGTCTCTGTTGGGCCTTCCTGGCCACCTGGATCATGTTGTTTTTCCAGGTGAAGTCTTCGCTGAGATGGACTCCCAGGAATTTAAAGGAGGAACTCTCTACACAGCCCCCCTCAGTGTAAAGTGGGGCAGATTCCTCTCTTTTCCAACATTCATTATGCATAAAGCAGAAAATTCCAATGCCCTCAGTAAAGAACTTTATTTTAGTTGCATGCTGCCAAATCTGACAGTGGTAGCTTATATCACTGAAACCATAGAAGTTTCAAAGGAAGGAAAGAAGTTTTAAATTTACAAAGGAGTATCAGAACAAAAAATAATTCAATACAAGAAAAAAGCTATTCATTACTCAATATATGCATTCATGGCATCAACTAATCAATTCCTAAATGTCCTGCAGGAGAACTCCATTTTATTTATGTCTTTGTCAAATTTATATATTCATCCATCTTCACACAAAGTGATTTCAGGCATCATTTTAATCATTTTCAACATGGCAATAAATGAAAGTCTAGCTTCTGAGGAAAAGCTGGTCTATAGCTGCTCTACAGTAATATATTCTAATTAGCCTCTGTCTTCCTTCACAAAAATGGGATGCCACCAGCATTTTCTCCTGATAGGTCACAAAGCAGATCATTTTAAAAATAAAAAGAATAAAAAGTGCAAAGAAGTAAGTAAGAAAAATATATACTCATATAGGAGGACTCCATTTTATTTATGTCTTTGTCAAATTTATATATTCATCCATCTCACACAAAGTGATTTCAGGCATCATTTTAATCATTTTCAACATGGCAATAAATGAAAGTCTAGCTTCTGAGGAAAAGCTGGTCTATAGCTGCTCTACAGTAATATATTCTAATTAGCCTCTGTCTTCCTTCACAAAAATGGGATGCCACCAGCATTTTCTCCTGATAGGTCACAAAGCAGATCATTTTAAAAATAAAAAAATAAAAAGTGCAAAGAAGTAAGTAAGAAAAATATATACTCATATAGAAGTGACTTCCAATCTTAATCACAAAAAGTAAAAACAAATTTGACAACTTCACCCTTTATGAGGGTGAAATATCTCTTCTATAACTCATCCCATACCAACATGCAAGTCCATAAATTTAGTCCTAGGGCTGCCTCAAAATTCAGGCATCCCAAGTGTACATGGAGCTGAAGACAATTCCCTGAATTTGAGAGATAAAATACCTTTACCTTTGCAAACGGGCTTCTTTGCCTCCTGAAAATAAGAATCGCCAAGTAATTCATGCAAAGCAAAAAGCATTTATTGGGGGGGAGGGGGTTCAAGTCTTTTTATAGGGTACAGAAACAAATGATACATAACTTCCAGTATATGTGATTCGTCAGTAACTAAATGATCAAACAAAATACACTGATTGCATGTGAAGTTTGAATAATAGAAAACATTGCTTCTAAATAGCATTCTACAAGTGATAAATTTATGGATTATATTACTTTTTCTTAGCTAAGTTAGTATCTTTCTTGAAAGTTGCAAGTGCACTCAAGGACTTTCAGAATACTCTTTCTATTGTGTGGTTGCTGAAAAGGCAAGTTCTGGCATACCAAAAGAAATGACCTTGGCTAAAAGAAAAACATGTTATCTTATAGATAGAGAAGAGCCTTGGACTGCCATGTTAAAATTATAAATATCACCTTTTAAAATGTTAATAAGGAAGTCTTAAATTTGAGGCAACAAGCCTTTTGCTTTATATTTCACAACATTTCAAGCTATTTCTATCATTACAAAATCATGCTGATCATTGATCATTGTATAATATTTATAATATAATTATACAGTATTTCTGGTTCTAGTATTTCTGCATCAGATTTAACATCTTTTGGACATAATCTGTCCATGGAAGCAGACATCATTGCTGACATTTCTGATATTGTAGATACCACCTACTCTCAATAGGCCATTTTGATCAAGAAATGTGTACAGCTCTTCAGGGAGCTGTCTCTAGAAATACGTCTTTTGTTTAGCATACAGCCAATTTCTCATGCATAAGTTTCATACTGCACGGTGCAAATGATGATATTTTTAGATTGCTTACGTTCTATTACTGAACAGATGTGTTGGCAGTGGTGCCAGCCTTTGAAGTTGATGTGTGTGGCTCCTTTAAATGACTGAGCTATGTGAGTCAGGCAAGTAATAGCCCGAACGACTGAATTCCAGGTTGACAATCTGCAAAATCTATGTGATTCAAGTCTAAGGTGACCAGATTTTAACATTGGTAAAGAGGGACACCATTGTGGGCGTGGCTTATTTTGTGGAGGTCATGTGACCGGGTGGCCATGGTTATGTGTATAGGGACTACTCAGAGGGCTGAAAAAAGTCATTTCTGACAGGTCCTCGCACTTTTGACTGGTCCTCACACTTATGACCATCCTCACATTTATGCCCGTGCAGCATTCTTAACAACCATGTCACTCATTTCACAACTGCTTCTCTTCACCATGATGACAAGATAGGACAAAAATGTAAAATGTGAGGACAGTCGTAAGTTCGAGGACTGGTCAAAAGTGTGAGGACCAGTCAAAAATAACTTTTTCAGCCCTCTGAGTAGTCCATATGCATAAAAGGATACAGCAATAGAGAGGGATGAAGGAAGGGAAGGGAAATCAGAGTAGGAGTGAGGGTAAGAGAGGGAGGAAGAGAGGAGGAGAAGGAGAAAGGAAGAGGAAGTAGGGAGGAGAAGAAGAGGTTGGGGGGAAGAGAAAGTAAGGAAAGAAAAGACAGAGGTGGTAGGTTTGAGGAGAAAGATTGCTGTACAATAAAAAAGATGAAAGGGAAGAAAGCCAACCCCAAACAAATATAAAGATATTAAGATAAAGAATGAATTGTTAAACTTTAAAGAATAAAAGAGAACAAATATGAATAAATAGCAATAATTAGAAACACACATACAAACATACAATGTATTTTCTTTGAACAGAATATTTGGCTGGTTCACAAATTTAAACAGTGTTTAGTCATTTCAATTAAATTTACAATTTCTATATTTCCTTTTTGCCATATTTATTCCTCATCTATTTTTTTAAAAAAAAACCAATATTACCCTTCATCCTCATCTCTAATCTTAATCAAATTCAATTTTTCCCTTCTATATTATACCCTTTCCCATTGTCATCTATTTTTATATCCATCCTCACATTGGTTAATTATGTAATTATGGAAAAGAAGTGGCCTCTCATTTCTTGCTTTCTTTGAAAATTATGTTTAAGGGAAGAGAAGCGCTTCAGCACTTGTTCTTTATTGTTCAGTAGGCGTCTTCTCTGGTTTGAAGGGAAGATGGATGACTCAGTTGTCACTATCT